GTGTGTGTGTGTGGCCAGCTCAGCCCACCAGGGGGCCGGGCTGGCTGGCATGTGGTGCTGGGGGATTGAACCGTGGTCCACGTGCTTTGCTAAGCTTGTTCTAAGTAGGTGCTTTAGACCACTGAGCCATCTCACCAGCCCCTGAATATATTTTTAAAAAACAAACAGACATCTTTTGGACAATGATGGAGCTTGGTGAAGCAAACAAAGCAGAGTTGCAGCGCCCGGTGGCGGCCGAACAATAAAAGGCGCAGTTCACTGCACAGGTGCATTACTTCATGGAGCTTATGTTGGGATAAATGTGTGGAGAAGTCAGGCAATCGCCTAGACTCTCGCACTGAAAACTGCCTCTCTAGTTCTCTGGACCACTTCATTGACACTACTCTTGCCATCACCGGTTGGTTTGCCCAGATTGTACAGAAAGGAGGACAGTAGACCAATGCCTCGGACAGTAACAGAAGCAACAAAGGACTATTATAAAGCAGATTCAAGGTCCACTGGGAGAAGAATCGTCAATCCATTGTCAGGTTAGCATCAGCCTGTTGGTGCTAAAAAGCAACAGATCAAATGTACAAAACATTTATTTATTTGGAATTCATAAATTCCAGGTTGTAACACATCAGTTATTCAATAAATGTGAATTTTCCAAAAACAAACAAACAAAAAAAAAAAAAACCCCTGTAAGCTAAAATAAACTACCTGCTTTAACTTGTTAGTATTGGATTTTTGTTCTAAAAACAAGAAAGTGATTAAGCCATTTGAATTAAAAATAAAACTTTTGGGGGAGCCGGGGAGATAGCTCAGTGGTGTAAGCACTGCCTGGCAAGTACAAGGTCCTGAGTTCGAACCCTGGTACCGCAAAAAACAAACAAACAAACAAACAAAAAACCAATAAATAAATTAAAGAAAACTTTTATTTTATTTATTATTATTATTATTATTATTATTACTATTATTATTATTATTTTGGGTGGAACCAGGGATCGAACTCAGGCCCTTGCACTTGCCAGGGAAGCGTTTATTCCACTGAGCCATCTCCCCGGCCCCCAATAAAACTTTTAGCATTAGGAAAAAACATTAAAACTATTTTTTTTTTCCTTAAAGAGAGAACATTAGCTTGGCATGATGGTGCACGCCTGTAATTCTAGCACTTGGGAGGCTGAGGCAAGAGGACCACTGCAAGTTTGAGACCAGCCTGGGCTACAAAGCAAGTTCAAGGCCAGCCTGAACTGCATAGTGGGACCCCGTCTAAAAAGACAAAATAAATATAAAATTAAATAAAGAGAGAAAATCGAGGAAAATGTTTACAACATAAGGCAAACAGACAGCTAATCTCTTCCTATCATATAGAGGGCGCACAGGACAACCTAACATTGTGGCCCAACAGTTGAAGATTATGACCAAAGACCTCAAAGATAGTGGAAAGACATTTGATTACACCTAAGAAATGAGAATAAAACCTGCAGTAAGATATCACTGTCACTAAGACAGCTCAGAGGTGGAAACACAGCCAACATAGGTGTAGAAGAAAGTTGGTGGAAGATGGCACAGCTACAGGAAGCAGGCCCTCAACTCAGCTATCAGAGTTGATGAGGGCCCATCGTGCTTGAGGTCCTGGGTTCCTGGGTTTAATCACTGGCATTACAAGAACACAAAAACAGCTGGGGATACAGCTCAGTGGCATAGCACCTGCCTGGTAAGCACAAGGTGCTGAGCATGATTCCTAATAACACACACACACACACACACACACACACACACACACACACAAGCTATAATGGGGTAATTTGTCTATAACTTAGAAAGCACATGCACTGTGATGCAGCTCTCCTCACTTCTAGAAATCAATCCTGCAGACTGTTTCTGCCTCATAACAATGCACTGCACAAGCACCTAAAATAGGAAACAGCAGTCTCAGCTTTTGGAGCCCAGAGGAGGCGATGCGGACAGGTTGGGAGAAGTCTGGGTGGGGAGTCCTCGAGCATGTTTCACTCATGGCAACCGAGTGTCTGATGTGTGCACTTTCTGGGTAGGTGTGCTTAAACACACCCACTGTGAAGAATGTCCATGAGCACCCTCCATACCTCCTCGCCTTCCTTCAGGGCTCCAGCCTCTGATGAGCATAGACCAGCTGAAGTCTTAAGATTGGGGAACGGGGCACACAGCTCGCCACAGTGCACCCATGACCGGCAAGAACATGGGCCCAGGCCAACAAGGTGGGTCAAGCCAGGGACAGTGTCTGTTCTGGAGGACGCCAGCCCCCAAGGGTGCGATTCTCTAGTAGAACCTGGAAAAGGGGAGAGCAGATGGGCAGAGAAGCAGCTGCTCAGGGCTTGAAGGCTCAGTAGTTTCCTTCCACAGAACAGATTATGCTTGATAGCGCCCCACTGCAGGCCCAAGGTGAGAGGAAGCTCTTCAGATCTTTAGACAGGGGAGTGATAAGGTCAGATTTGTAATTTATAAAGAACATTCTGACAGCTGTGGTGGCATATGCTTATAATCCAAGCTATTCTATAGCTGGAGCAGGAGGATCAGAAGTTCAAGGCCATCCTGGGCAATACAATATGACCTTGTCACAAAACAAAACACAGAGAGAACATGCTGGCAGTGGAGTAGCGGGAAGGTTTTAGGAATAGGAAATGAGGGCTAAGAATGTAGGTGAGGATGTAAGTATAAATCTCAGCAGCAGAGGGGACCAAAGGTCAGGGGACAGTGATGGGGGCTCTGGAGACAGGCCAGCCCCACGCTGAGGGTATTAAGGCCATGCCCACAGGCCTAGGGAGGGTATAACCTTTGGGGCGACTGTGAGATACCAAGCTGGAGTCTAACTGGGAATCTCTGGCTAAGGTCTAACAAACACACAGAAGAACATGGGCCCCTATGGCCGCTTGGGGACAAATACAGGGTCATTTGTCTGTACATGGCACTCCAAGTACCCCTCTTACAGTCCTTTGGCCACTGTTCCCACTGGTGGCCACATCTCAGCTGGACGCACTGTTTGCACTTCACATGAGCATGGGCTGTGTTTTCCCTCAGGCCTGCCTGCCTTCACTAAAGTCCGTGTCACCCACTGCTGCTCTGTAGGCTGCAGCCCTTTGGCTCCCACGGCTGGGTATGTTCTATTTCTGTGTCTACGCCACACCTTACCATTCACTTAGCAGACTTTTCAAAGTGGGTCTGCAGTTCAGCCAAAAGGTCAGGGCTTAGCCCAGACTTAGGAATCGTAAGCTAAAGCCCGAGGGAAGCAGGGGATCCCCAGAAAGCTACTGATGGCATAAGGAAAGCAGTAATGGCCAAGCATGGGGCACTGACATCCCATAAAAACAAAGAAGGCACGGTTTCAAGGGAAGCTGTCCACAATGCTGAATGCATTGTGGGTACCAGCTCACGGCTAGAAGTACCCTTAGCCCTATCAGAGACTTCTGAGGAGGACAAGGGACACAGGGAAGAGGCTGAAGTATAGGGAAAGGAGGCTCCCTACAGGAAGAATAGCCAGGAGAACACAGGATCCCCAGAATGGAGAAAAGGAGGTGGCCTTGGAGGCTCTGCAGACCTCCGAGGACACACTGCAGCATCCTACTGAACTGCAACTGCCTTCAGTGGGCTGCTCCCAGTCAGAGCCTCACACGGTAGCCTCTGGAAGGCCCTCCTCCCAAAGAGCTCTACTCTGGAAATCCACCCTGCGTCACATCTACGTCTTGGAAAGGCCTGAAATGGCAGCGTAAAGGTGATCTTTGAGCAGTGGGCACAGCTGCCCCTAAGTCCTATCCTACTTCTTCTCTGCAGCAAGCAGCATCTGCTGAGGCATGGTAGTGAGAAGGCAACCCAACCAGAATTCATGAGGCAGCACTCCCATATTTTCCTGGCAAATAGCCATCAGGGAAGGACAGACACCCACAAAATAATTAACTAGATCTACTCTCCCATCTTCTCTAAAACACGTAGCAAGAATAAATTCTGACTACCGAGTAGTAAGACACAGAAATAGTTCCTGATATAGAAAGACAACCTTCAAATTGTCCAGGACAAACCTGCTTTAAGCCCAGGGTGGATTTCTTCTCAAAGAGGCACATGCAGCCCATTCTTTTCTGGTAGAAAGGCCCAGCCAACGGGGATAACATTCCAGCTGCCTGGGCTGCAACCCACACTGCAGACTGAAAAATGCCCAATCTTCCACAGCCCTGCCCACCAAAAGGGGGTATTACCTGTTCCCCACACCACTTGACTCAGGCTGGTCTTTGTCCATCATACTGCTATACCGGGAAATGAATACAGAGCCTTCTAACTGAGCTATCTCTCCAGCTTTTTAAAAAACTTTTATTTTGAGACAGGGTCTCACTAAGTCACCAAGTTGCCCAGGTTGGGCTCCAACTTAATAGCATCCTGCCTCAGCCTTCCAGAATGTTGTATTACAGGCCTGAGCCACGCCCAGCTTGTAACCAGCTCTCTCCAATGGGACAGATGAGGCCTTACAATACCCACTCCAGCTGTTGGAAGCTTCCACCACAAGAACCACATAGTCTGGTACTGTGATGAGTGAGAGCCATCACAGAGTGTGGCCACAGACACTCAGCTGGCCCAACGCCAATCTACCAACCACAAAAATGACAAACACTTAGTTGCTTTAAGCCACTAAGTTTTGCAGTGGTTTGCTATGCAGCAAAAATGACTAATATAGATAGGGGTTGTGCCAGTGGAGGGTGCTATGATCGCACAAGAAGCAGAGCTGGAAAAGGCGGGAGACAGGTGCTGCTGCTATGTCATGTGTGGCAGAGGAACAGTCCTACGCCTCAGCAATCTAGAAGGTGGAAAACACACCAAAGACACGCACATCTTGCGAAGAACATTTCAGCTAAAATGCAGAAAGTGCCAATGGGCTCTGTGAAGTCAGATGACTGTTTTCACAGTACTTACAGGGAGTGGGAAAATCACCCTATTTCATACCTCCAGCTTCTTTGTTGACAACAATTGTCAAAGTAAAAATGACATTAAAACAAACCAAACTAAGGCGCAGCTATGAAGGCTTTCACTCAGACCTTGGTGAGTTTTGAGGCTGTGTCTATCGAAGGCCTTGCCATGAAAGACAGTGAGGCCCATCTTCACAGATTCTGCCACATGGGTTTTAGGCAGGACCATCCTCCTGCTGGACAGAGGTAGAATAACATAGTTTTACTTCCTAGGTCTCTGGTTCAAGAAGTGCTTCACCTGTACTCAGACCTGAGGTGGCCTGCAAGGCCAAAGGGAGGTAAATGTTGGAGGGGTCCTGGCCAGTAGTGGGGGAAAGAAGTGACAATGCCAAGCTGTGCGCAGCAGCACACACCTATAATGCCAGCATTTAGGAGACTGAGGAAGGAGGAATGCAAGTCTGAGTCCCACCTGGGCCACTCAGAGAGACCCTGCCTCGAAATAAAAAAATAAATAGTGATAGATAAATAAATAGTGCTGGGCAAATAGCTCAGTCCAAAGGACTGGGTTCAATACTCAATATGGCCAAATTTAAAAAGAAAAAGAAAGGAAGGAAAAAGAAAAGAGAAGAGAAGAAAAGGACAAGAAAAGGAAAAAGAAAAAAAGGTAATTGTGTCAGAACGCAGAAAGGCTACACCATCCAGAGGCAGTGTGCCCACCGTAAGACTGTGAATGGCCACATCACACAGTTACCAGCTGGCCAGACACATAGCCCAGTGCTAGTACGCCTGTCAAGAATACATGAGGCCCTGGGTTGAATCCCCAATACTGGAAAAAAATAAAATGTTCTCGGTCATACAGTGAAGACTGAGCACTGTTCCGCAATGATCTAAGACAGTGTAAAGACACCAAGTACAAGACACGGAAAAGCCTCCAGCCAGTGACTCAAGCTCTGGTAGGAAGAAGGACTCATGTAGCCCCTCTGTCCAGGGCACTGCTTCCCCTCATCTCCCTCTTGCCAGGAGCGGAGCTACTCTGTCACCTTCTGACAATTCTGCCTACAGAGGTAGAAGAAATCAGCCTGCAGTTTGGTCAAATCTGAGGGTTTTGGCCAACTGGTACTCCATTCAGATGTTAACAGAAGAGAAGATGAAGCTGGTATGATGGCACATGCCTGTAATTTCAGCACTCTGGGAGGTTGGGGCAGGTGGATCATAGTTGGAGCCTAACTAGGCAACTAGCAAGACAGTCTCAAAAGAAAAATTAAAAAGGCAAAAAGTGAAGAAAAAAATTTGGTTTCACAATGAACATCAAGAAAGCCAGTAGCTCTTCAACCTCATTCCTTGCTAGCAGCCCTCACTCTTTCCCACTGTTCTACTTACCAGAAGAAAAGACACCATGTGTTTGGAAACCACATGGCCTTGCTGCAGCAGAACAGAGCCTTCACCCTCAGTTTATAGCTGATCCACTCTTGCGATGCAGTTTGCTCCTTACGTCACACATAAAAAGACCTTGGGTCCAGCCTGAACATCATCATACACGAGGAAATTTTGATACTTGTACTAAACCTGGCAACCAGCTGTGCCACATATAATTCAACTGGAACCCTAGCATGGCCTTGGCAGGACCAAAGCTCAGTCCTTACCCGTGAGGGGCCAAATTTGTTGTTACCAGCACTGTCTTCACCTCCTCCACACCACTGCCATCCACTGCAGTATCGGGAGTTGTCACAACCACCACCTCTTCCATATGGACGCTCACATCCGGGGTTGCCATGGTTCACCGAAGTGGGTGCCAGTGGCCAGGAGTTTCACTCCTCCAGGGCCCCAAATCCTGGAAAAAGCAAGGCAACATACAGGTTACAGTGTAATCTTTAAGTCCACTCAACAGAACATCTAGCAATGGCTTCTCTCAATATCACCAAAAATCGCCCTCCAAGTTCTTGTTTGCTACTCTTCAAAAAGAAGCCCTGATGCTCTGTGTCTCAGAATAGCTTTAGGTGGCAAGACACACCATCTTTCCCACTAAATGAGCCACACTCCTCCCTCAAGAAGATACAGTAAAAAGAAGAAGAAGAAAAGAAGAAGAAGAAGAAGAAGAAGAAGAAGAAGAAGAAGAAGAAGAAGATGATGATGATGATGATGATGATGATGATGATGATACAGTACTCCTCACTCTGTGATGGCCTGAAAGTTCTGAGGAGCAGGAAGAACAGGGCAAGGGACCAGAATGTCAAATATGACATCTTTGAAGGCGAGTTCCCTAGTGTTTACTTTTACCCATAGATATCCTGGCTGAAGACAAAGATAGGATGAAAGCCCAAGATTAAACACTGATACAGACAGAAAGCACCCAGGAAGTCTCTGTGGTCTAAGAAGAGAAATCCATACAAAATAAGAAAGTAAGGTTCACTAATTTTCCTCATTTGTAGTGGCCTCTGGGTGGTGATCAGGTTGTTCTGATTTAGATAGACATATACTCCTAAAGCCTTAGTTCAGAGGTGAGGCTTTGGAATAAGGCAATGAGATCATGGTGCTACAGTCAGTGGATTAGTCCATAGATGAGTTACTTGACTTTGTGTTTGGAGTGCAGCTTGGTCAGAGAAGGCAATTCTCTAGGAGCATAACCTGGAAGGGTGCATTCTTGTTCCAGTTCCTCCTCTTGTTTTCTGCTTCCTGGCCCCCATGCAGTGAACAGCTTTCTTCTGCTGAGGTGTTTTGTCATACCATTTCTGCCTCGGAGTCAGCTTACCATGGACTGAGGCCTCTGAAACTGTAAGCCAAAATAAACCTGACCTCCTCTAAATTGTGAATGTTGGGTATTTTGTTCTAGTGATAGGAAAGTTACCAATACAAAAATCTGTTACCAAGAGTAGGGTTGTTGCTGACTATATCTAACCACATGGTTCAAAAGCCTTTGGTAGGGGCCGGGGAGATGGCTCAGTGGAATAAGTGCTTGCCTGGCAAGCACAGGGTCCTAAGTTCAATCCCCAGTTCCGCCAAAAAAAAGCCTTTAGCACTTGTTTGTGGGAGAAGTCTAGGAAGTCTGGGAAGGTTTGGCAGTGCTGCCTAGAGAAGCCTTAGAATGCTGTAAAGAGAGTATGCAGAGCTTGGTGGGTCATTCTGATTGAAATTAAGACCATCTCTATGGGGCTGGTGAGATGGCTCAGTGGTCTAAAGCACCTACTTAGAACAAGCTAAGCCAAGCAAAGCACAGGGACCTCTGTTCAATCCCCCAGCACCACATGCCAGCCCGCCCGCCCCCTGGTGGGCTGAGCTGGCCACATACAAAAAATAAATAAATAAATACTAAAAAAAAAAAGACCGGGCTGGAGAGATGGCTCAGTGGTCT